GTGCTGCAGTGCACATAGGGCAGCTTGTGCCTGTGAGCTGTGCAGGCAGCCAGGTAAACCCTTTCTCCTTGGTGGCCTGAGCGCTGCCCTGCCAGCAGCCCTAGCCCATGGGCTGCAGATGAGTCTGAGGACAGGGTGCTGAACATGGGGAATGCGGCAGGGTGAGTCCAGAAACCAGACTGCTGCTGTGTCTGCCTGTAGATATGACGGGGCCAGAGCAATGAGCTGCGTGGAGAAATGAGCTGCATGGAGAAATGCATCTCTTGCTCTGTCACCTATTACTTGTTCTCCCCTCTCTGCTGGAGTGCATAAATCTCACTGCTTTTTATGAGTCCTTCTCCAAGAAACCTGGTTCATGGGTATCAGTTTTCTGTTTGCCCCTTGTATTCTACAAGCCACTGCTAAGTCTTTCTTTGGACTGAAATCTGCTCAAAATCAAGAGGGAAGGATATTTCTCTCCAGGCTATGGTGAATTTAGACTAGCTGGGAGAACCTCTCTCCCTTCATCCAGCAGTGGTCTGGCACCCTTCTGATCAATGCTAAGGACCGGAGAATCAAAGAAACAGGCTGGGAGGAAAAGTCTCCTGCCATCAGGCTGAGTGTAACCCACTTACATGCCTCACTAGTGCTTATAACCCAGCTTTGTGCACTAAAATCTGTTACAATGTGTATAACAACACCTGATGGTTGTCCCACAATGCATGAGTGTTCCTCTGGTGATGGGATGTCCTTGTGACAATAGTTACCACTTTGTAGACCTGTGTAACACTGGACTGCCTTACATGTTTCTGACCAAAATATAACTTGTTGTGTGTTGTGCATGTGTATAGTGCCCTTTTCAAATTTTTTCCTTTTTTAAAATTTTGTTGATGTTTTCAAAACCTCTAGCCTTTGAACTAGATAAATTGAGAGGCTTGTATGTGAACAGACATCTACTGCCCCAGATTGAAATAAGATTAAAATAAAAACTTAATAATTAACTAACCTTATGTCATGCTGAGTAAATTAACCTTATGTCATGCTGAGTAAGCATACTTGTTTCTCTCGTGGTATCTTTAATGTTAAACTTATGTCTGGCTAACTTGACTTGAAGTTCTTTTGTTAAAATCATGTTGATTGCTAATAAGATCAGTTTAGTTGAAAATCTGTTTTTCAAATAGTTGTGTGTTATATGATTTCAGGTAATAGATATGAATGACTACCAGAGAAGAAGATTTGCCTCTCGTATAATTGACAGCCTGTTCAATACTGTCACTGATAAGAAGATTGCTATTCTAGGGTTTGCATTCAAAAAGGATACTGGAGATACAAGGTAAGAAGGCAACTTTAGTGTGGTTGCCCTATGTTTTTCACCAGCTATGCAGTTTAAAAACACCAATTTTTTAGTGAAAACAGATCAGATAAGGGGACTTACAAACCAATTTAGTTGCAAGATGTTTAACTGGGGTTTCCTTAGTGGGGGAGACAATTCATTCTTGGTCTCTAAGACTTAAGGATCAATTGCAACATATTATCATTTATTACTTGTATAAACTAAGATGGCTTTTGAATGGAATCTTTCCCTTCTCTATAGTAAAGCATGAGCATGTTTGAGGGTTTGGCAGCTGGGAGTCAATAGCAGGGCTTCAGCCACTTCCCAAAGGCAGCTCTTAAGCCTTTATGGGAAGGCAGAACTTGATAGTGTCCTCTCTCCATGCTCACAGGCATGGTACCTTGTTAATTATGCTGTATCCTGGGGCTTAGTATCTGTCTTTAATGCATGAACTGGTGATAGTGATAATTTGGGGGATTTTTTTGCCTTTCTTGGCTTCCCTGAAGACTCTTATTTTTCCTGTTGTCATGGATTATCACTCAAATGTGCAATGCTTTTATATTGGCTCTACTTTAAAAACATCTCATAGGGTCTTTTCATGACACCTGAAGACTTTATTGTTTAGAACAAACCTTTTGATTCAAGTGGTTGATTTGCTTCCCTAGAGAGTCTTCCAGTATCTACATTAGCAAGTATTTAATGGATGAAGGAGCAAAACTCCATATCTATGATCCTAAAGTACCTAAGGAGCAAATCATGTTGGATCTTTCACATCCAGGTGTCTCGGAAGATGATCAAGGTAGGAATGCTTGTGAAAAGTTTCCCTGTCCTGTGAGGAGCGGAGAGGGAAAAAGGCTTTGTACCCTTTGACAATAGGTTACCTACCAAAAAGTTAATCTTGTCTTTGCAGGGATGTGCTGCTGGCCACATTTTATTAATGCAGAGATTTGTCATACTTCAGAGGATTACTGTAAACTTCCTCTCTGCTTTGCAAACTGTACCAATGTGTGAGGAGTGGCTTATTTTTATTTATATATTTTTTAAATGTGTGAACAAAGATCTTTCTCTGTAATCAAAAGAAAGAGCAAAGCCAGCAACAGAATAGACTAGAGTTACTCAGTCCATTGCTTACTGTCTGGATCCTTACCCTGCTTTTGTTCTGTTTTGCCTGTTTAAAATAGAAGTTGCAAAATTCTGCTATTTCTTATAGAACACTTAATTTCTTCTTCTCCTTCCAGATTTCTCACTTTTATCTCCCTACTCTTCAGTTCAGACAGGGGGTTTTGTAGGGGGGTGTTTTGGATTTTTGTTATTTTTCCCTGTTGGACAGGGAAAGAATGGAGATCTATGGATCGGGAGAGGGATAGATGACCTCTCTAGAGGTGGGGATAGAATGAGGAAAACCAGGCTGTGATGAGGAAGAGATGATGCTCACACCTTCCAAGCAGACCTCATGTGGCAGATGCCTTCCAAGTGAAGGGCACAAATTACTTGACATGCAAGGGGAGTAAAGAACAGCAGTAGTCATTAGAGATGGAGTGTTTACAAGGGGGCCTTAAGTTTGAGAGGGGTGGTCTCCAGGCAGGTAGTGAGACAGGCAGAGGATGAAGGCAGCACTTGAATCCATGGAGCTGTGTATGTGGGTTTTTTTTTGTGTGTGTGTGAAACAAGTATGCAATAGTAAGTGTAGTTTCTTTGCTGTTGTACAGGCAATAACCTCTGAGAGCTGGCATTTGAATATTTTATAATTTCCAATTCTAGAGGTCCTCTTAACTGTTTAAATTAGAATGCTTAATTTCAAGCCCTTAAGGGCCCTGGCTCTCTTCAGATGCCAGGTATCAGCTGCTCTCATTAAGTGACAAATGTCTTCACTGAAAACAGCTCTAGATAAGTGACCTGGAACTCTCCTTGCTCGAGCAGAGTAAGCAAGGAGACTGTCTTGCCAGGAGTGCCTGGAGACACATACATGTGCAGAAAGAAACTTCCTCTTCCTTCTATTGCAGTGTCTCGACTGGTCACTATAAGTAAAGATCCATATGAAGCCTGTGATGGAGCTCATGCCCTTGTAATCTGCACTGAATGGGACATGTTTAAGGTAAAAAGTGGGTGGCTTTTGTTGTATGGGAGTTTTTTTATTTATTTAGCTCTCTTGTATCTTTAAAGATACAAAGAGAATGTGTTACTTAATAACTCTCTCTGTTCTGTACAGGACCTGGATTATGATCGCATTCACAAGAAGATGCTGAAACCAGCATTCATCTTTGATGGCAGGAGAGTTCTGGATGATCTTCATAATGAGCTGCAAGTCATTGGTTTCCAGGTAACCAGCTGGAGTTTCTTCTGGGTGTGTTTTTTGTGGGGAGGGAGTACCCCCCATGTACACACTCTTCTGGAACGATTGAGTTACAAGAGAAAACCCTTTTTAGCTGAGGCTTTAAATATAAAACACTTGCTCTTGTGTCCCTTCACTAGTTGCCTTTTTCTTCAGTACTCTCCTGGTCTGTGAACTGATGCTCTATTAAAATCCAAACTACATCGGAATAGTCCGTCAACACTGAGCAGTGTAAGCATGTCTGGGAGAAGTCATCTGTCTAGTGGAGACAATGTTTGACTAACACTGAAATCGCAAAATCTCTGAATATCTCCTAGTAGAAGCATCCAAGTCATAAACTGAAGCAAAACCTAGAAACCAAGTCAGGTGCATGTTACAGCTAAATTATTTCCTTTCACCTACTATGAAGTATGGTGATTACCTGTGTAATAGTCATAGGCTTCCCCTCCCTCCTTTCCTGCTGTTCTTGCTTTGCTTAAGCTGCAGCCTAGCTGTTAGTGAGCCTGTTTCAAACAGGGTAAATGGCTTTTACGAGTAAGTGCTGCAGTCACAGGGTGCAGCTGTTAAGGGCACATATGGTTCATGCAGCTGGCCTGGCTGCTTGAGCAGAGCCCTTCTGAGGGTACTGGTGAAACCAGGTGCTTAACTTGAGTGTCTGCCTAGAATACCAATTTTCACTAGATTTCTCCTGACTTTATTCCTCAGGATGACACAATCACAGAATGGTTGAGGTTGGAAGGGACCTCTAGAGATCATCTAGTCCAAACCTCCCTCCTCCAGCAGGGACACCTACAACATATGGCACAGGATGGTATCCAGGCAGGTTTTGAGGATCTCCAGAGGAGACTCCACAGCCTCTCTGGGCAACCTGTTCCAGGGCTGTCACCCTCACAGTCAGGAAGTTCTTGTTTTAAATGCTGTACATTATCTTTTAGTGCTTCGCATCTGACTTAAGATAGGTGTATCTCTCAATGACAGGGCATCAGGCCTATCTCACTAGTTGGCATTTTGGCCTCTACAAGCTCTACCCTTAAATGTTTTATGTGAGCCTGGTTTAGGAATTGGGTGAACTTGGTGAAGGGGAAGGTTGTGTTTGTTTTTAACTCTTTGCACTCATACTCCCCATAGCTGCTTAGCATACTGTGTGTGCTTGGCAGCTTATGTTTTTTCCCAGTGTTAGAAATAGCCATGGTTCTGGATTAGTTAGGAATTTATTAACAGCCTGACATTGAGTCTGTTCACTTGTCATGCTCACTTTCCAACTGTATCTTCTCTTTCAGATTGAAACAATTGGGAAGAAGGTCTCAGCCAAAAGAATACCTTTTGCTGCTTCTGGTGAAATTCCTAAGTTCAGTCTGCAAGACCATCCTGTGAAAAAGCCCAGAGTGTAACTCAAGTACTGAAGGAATTGTGAACCACCTTAGTGATAGTAACTGTAAGCCTCTGCTTTTTTAATGAAAGATATTTTTTCATAAACTGAAGATGATTTTTACACTAGAAATGGTACCTGGTACATGTGAATTCAGTCTCATTTCAAATCTCTATTTTTATAATATTTTTTCAGTTACTGAAGATGGTACAGACCAATTTTTAATAATGAATCAGTGTTTAAATGAGGAAAAAAGTACCTTTAAACTGCAGTTTGCTGCTTCCAGAAACATTCCTAAACTGCACTTTAAATGTTTGAAGTGCTATGAAAATAAAAGAAAAGCTTCTTTTTACTTTAGTGGAGCTATGGGCAGTAATCAGGATCTTAGTTGGTCTCACAGATTATAATTTACCTCCAGGGTAACTCTTTACCCTGCTGAATGCTTGCTTTAACTGGTAATGAAATCAAAAGGTATGTTCTAAACTAATTTGATAAGATCTGGTTTGAGCCCTAAAGCAGAGCTGACTGCAATAATAATGCCCTGACTCTGCTTGGGACCAATGGGCACTCACAACACCTGAGGCCACTTCTGGCTTTGGCAGACCAGGTAGTTCTGCAGACAACTGATGTCTGCATCTACCCTGGCAGGTAATACTTGATTCTTCACCATCTTGCCCACATTCCACACACAGCACAAATTGATTTAATCAGATTCCTGGGGCAAACTTTCCTGAATTACAGCAATGTAACCTATTGGGTTTGGTGAGAGCATTCTGCTTGTTTGAACATTGAATTTAAGCAGAATTACATGAAATTAATTCAGTATCAGTCCAAGTAGAAAACAAATATTGGCTTCAAAGCTATGTTTGTTTTGTCTTGAGTGTTTTGTTTGTTTTTGTTTTTTTCCTCCTTTCTCCTTGCATACTGGAACTGAAAGCAGGTTTCCTAGTCAACCTACAAAAACTATCCTCTTTCTGAGAAAAGATTAAAAACAAATTCAGCCCCATAAGTTAGTCAGCTTGCTACCTCATGTAATTAGCAGGAATTCATTTTTTTTTCCAATGTTATCTTTATACTTTTGCCTTTACTACTTTGTTTCTACTTGTTCATATTGTCCTGATTGGCCAGTGCTATTAAATTCCTTGGGATGACAAAGTTTGTGTTCAATTACTTTTGTATGGAATTGAAATGGAGGGGAGGAAAGGAAGATAAACTGACCAGGTTTCAGAATGAAAGCGGCAAGGAACTCTTGGCCAAATAACCACAGTGTTAGGATGTTTGAGATTGCCCTGAACTAGGCACCTTCTGCACGCAGTCGGTGGAACAGGCGACTGGGTTAGGAGTTAGACCGAGTGCAAGAGCAATTAGCTCTCTTGCTAATGAAAGTACTATTAGTTTGTGCCTACATTTCACCATCTTAAACCTTCAGAGGCTTATTCTAAAGCTTAGGATAGTAAACTTAAACACATGTAGCTTGGGTAGCTGCCGTGGGCTGATGTTAGCTGTGACTTGCACTCCCACACAAACACAACTAGTAGCAACTGTGGAGGGAAGCTGGTTAGCTCCTCCTGGGGACTGAGAGGAGGGCTTTGACAAGCTGCACTCGAAGGCTCTCACTTGAGTTACGGTGTGGTGGTGGCAGCCCTGTGCGGGCCCTGAGTCCCCTCTGTGTCTGGAGGGGTGGTTGCTGGACCAGTTGCGGAGCTGCTCCCTTTGCAGGGCTGCCCAGCAGCTCTCACATGGTTGTGCTGTGCAGGAGCCTTCTGGCAGGTTTCCACTTAGCCACCTTGGTGCAATGGAAGAGCCAAGTGCTACACACATTCCTGTCCTCTGTTTCTCCTGGAGGGCAACTGGTGGACTTAAATCATCAATACCAACAAAGAATGGGGAAGATTATTAGGAGGGACTCCCTTATTTGTTAAAGAAATGGCTGAGGGGAGGCAGACCCCCTTGCAAGAACAAAGGGTTCAGATGGTGCTGGCAGTGCTCCTGCTCTTGGAGAAGGTCTGCTTGCTTGGCCTTTTGGCTGCAGAATCCCTTTGCTGGGTGCAGCAGTGTGGGAGGGCTTGGGCTCAACAGTGATGTCAACAGCTAGCATAGGCCTCAAGGATACTGGCATGTTGATCTTGGATAAACTTGCCACAGGCCACAAGAAGGAGCTTCAGAGCTTCTGCAGCAACACCCATCACCCACTGTGCTCTTCAGAGTAACACTGTTAGGGCCATG